GCAGAAGTCCTTCAAAACTTGCATGGAAGCTGCCATTCCTTGGCTGTAACATTTTAGCTAGTTTTATGGTTTCGATATTGTTTTTGCTATATACTCATATTTATAAATCTAAAGTTTTCTTGTCATTCTTAAAGTAATTCTTTTGCAGACACATAAGCTTATTTAATACTCAAATCTCCCATAGCTTTTCACATTTTCCTTTTTTGGTCAAACAGATGAGCGTTTTCAGGAAGAGAGGAACAGGGCATACATTTCAAAGTGGCTAAGAAAATCCATTAAACAATTTGATAACTTCGAACAGTCTATGGAGGGCCTAAAATCCTTTTTCGGCGACATTAAGGTCTGGAACATATTTCCCATGCTTCTTCTGTGCTATTTTCTTCCTTTTCATACTTTGGTCAGCTGATGAACCATAGTACATTATTGTTGTCTTCACTTTAGGAGCGCATTAGCAAGAATACAGAAAGTGACTTGCAGAAATTTGAGAATGAGGAGCACATTACTCTTACAGACCCTGGTAGTTTTAGAAGAAAGAAGATAGAGAAATTTGACAAAACCTATTGTGGGCAGAAAGTTAGTACTACAATAATGACGTATGATACCTGTTTTTTTTTTTATAATTGAAATCTCAATGTGATTTTGACGCTCAAGCTTCTCTCAGGTTCATGAGGATCCTAAAAACTGTATAATTGATCTGGAGTGCAGTGTTGAAACAGATACGAGGTAAATATGGATCCCCTTGCTTATATTTTTTATGGCATGACCTACGAAGAAATGAGAATTTATTAGCTTTTCCATGTTGGTATATAATTTGTATAACTAAGAACATTTGTACAGGAACTGTAATCAGGCAGATGATCAGTTAATACCTCTATAAATTTGATGTTCTTATTATCTCCCTACACAGCAATCAATATGTATTTTTCATTTGCAATGGTCTTGAACCACTGGTTTTTGCAGGAACCATGAGTTTCTATCTATGGCAACCGACCTTCAAGTTCCAGATTCACCAATTGTGCAGGAGACTCCTTGTGTTGATGTTGGAGGCATCCCTAGTCCAGGAGACTCCAAAGATGAGCGATCGACTTCAACCATAATTGAGGCCTACTCTGAGTTTCCCGATCAATTCTCTAACCATTCTTTATGTTTTACGAAATCAACAAGAACTCCTCTTACATCCGAAACTTCAATGCTACATACTCCTGAAAGAAATGTTGCTGCAAATGCCTACAGCTTTGCACGAGAAACAGAGTCTTTGGATATGAGTGTAAATTCTCATACCCAAAAAAGGAGGAAGTCTATGGGTTTAACTATTACCAAACTTGCTCAAGAAGAGTTTGTTGATGATCCCAAAACCAAAAACCCCAAATGCAACAGCTTGGACAAAAGCTCAATAATTAGCGGCAGTTTAAATAGCCCAAAAGATTCTAGTTATGAGATTGTTCTCACAGAAGGGAAGTCTAAGAGTTCAAATGTTCCCCAAGTGCTCAATCTAAATGACACCCTTCCTGTTTGTCTGTCTGCCGGCCTTCCAATGGACAAAAAGTTGCATCTATCTTGTGCACTTTGTAGAAACCCACTGGGTCGTCCGGAGAACCATTTATATCTATCGTGCTCATTTACAGTATCATCAAAAACACACTTAATATCGACATATAAGGAAAGCTTAAAACCTCAAAATGCCAATTTGCCAACAAATATACCGGTTGTTATGACAGACATCTTATTTGTTAACCAGAGGCTCCTAGTTAGGTCTTCAAAAGGTTCAGGACGTGGTATCTGGAGTGAGGAGGATGGTTGTGTATTCAATTCTGTCTTTTGCCCCTTCTGTTGCACTGACAACTGTATTGGTGTACAGATCATGGCAACTGATGCATCAAATATTCAGTTACTTGATAAGGTACGTGTAATTCAATTTTTCTAAAATTTCATGAGATGCATATGGATTTTTTGTAGTTCAACATCTCGAACTTTATTGTGATAATTTTGTCCACATTTTTCTTTTCTTTTTTAAATTTCATTTCTCTTTGCCCATCATTTTGCAGGTGATGTTTTACCTGGAGCGTTTGGAGATCCAAGACCTAAAAGCAAATACAGAGAAGGCTTCAGTAAACAAGGTAGATTGTAATATAATTTATCATATGAAGGTGATTCGTATACGAATAGGGAAAAGTAAACTTGGTAGAGGAGAATTTGATGAGAAATGAAACTCAATTAACCAGTTACTGTAGCATGAATTGAAATCAGTATGATGGCTCGTTCCTTCTATTGCAGGAAATATTACCTGTTAGTAGCTCAGCCAAGAATAAGTCGGCCGTCATGGAACCCATTGAAAATTTTTCGTACTCCCCTGGGCCGCTAACCTCAGGAGGATGGAGGTCTACAAAATTGAAAGTCAGACGGAAGGAAACTTCATAGAAATATTCACGAAGATTAGTTGTTCTGCTTGGCCTAATTTAACCAGTGTTGCAGTCGAAACCAATAAAATTGTCTGCTTGTGTACCTAGGGTTACAATGGGAGATCTGGGCCATTTTGATTGGTCAAATTCACCATTCAAGGAATGCAGCTAACGTGGAAGTGTCAGTGTGTCTGGAGAAAGAACCTCTTAATCTATGTTCATCTACACTACAATTGTAAAGTTTACTGCATATCTATCTCGATCATTTATTTCCGGGTTGTAAAGTCCTCTGTATAGTTTCTGCATGATGGTTTTGTCACACTGTCATGCTGTTTTAGAGATAGGATAGCATTGTAGATCCCCAACTATCTATAGTGTTAGAAAACTTCCGTGGCCTGTTGATGGTATGGTTGCACTCAAATTGGAAATTTAGTGAACTTAGTGTTACGGGTATAACTTCAGGATCTCGTGTATGATCATTTTAGTTCAAGGGGATATAAAAAACTTTTTCCGTGAATATTGATCAGGATTTTGGATGAAGTTGCATCATGAACTATTTTCTAGCCATTTGGCTAGTTAATTCATCAGCAGAACTTTAGATCTATTTGAGTTTTACAGCATCATTTGCATTTCTTGGAGTCTTCTCAGGGAGATGACTAAAATACAAGTGGGTCGATTTCCATCATTAGTTTAATGGTTATGATTTTACCATTTTGTCTATAATGACCTGCAGGAACTAGATGAGTCGACAGTCCGTTACGAATCAGGTACAAAATTAATCATCATTCGTGCTCAATCAAGCAAATAACTAAAATTGCAGGAATACACAATTTATACCAAGTAACGTATGTAATCAAATCCTTCAAAAATTGGTTTCGTTCAGTACTGTAAGCTATATCATTCATATCCACGTATATAAATTGCCTCACAGGCATCTTCAAAATTTGATTTCCTTTTACATGCAGTGTAATATTTACTATGTCAGTTGTGGTTCGCACATTCCTCTAGGATGAGCTTCGGTGCAAGCAGTCTAGCAGATCTGCGGAATGTCGGAGGCATCACTCAACCAAGTGATATCCTTCACAAGGAGAGTAAGGAGAGTAGTCCGGTACGTTCATTTTTTCATTTGACATATTATTTCCTGCACATTGACAAATTGAATTAGAAAGTAGCAAGTTATTCAGAGATGAGGGGGCACTCAAATATGCATATCTTCATGTTTGATTCGGCATGCTCAAATATTTATTGCTGCATTACGAAATGCTTGGATGAAGAAAATTTGAGAAATGCTCAAATGTAGAACATTAGGAAAGACAGAGTGACATACTATGATTCTGTGTTGGGGTCATCTGACTGATATGACCAGATCCAAAAGATTGAAACATGGGCTCCCCTTTATTCGTTTGTGTGTCAAAGGAAAGGATTTCAGCACCTAATTCAGATCTCTGAGGATACACGTTGCTCAACTTCGGAACAAAATGTTCATAATCTTGTAAGGTTTCTGGTTTTGTCTTTTTCTCCTTTGGAGAATCGACTTCGGTCTCTGGTTCTGAGTCTGCATTATTTGGTACTGAATTTGCTTGCTTTCTTTTTGAACGAGCCCTCCTGTTTTGAAACCAATTATAAACGTTTGCTTCTGAAATTTGACCATATTGTATCAGCTGTAGAGTTATATCCTTGATCTTCTGCTTGCTTGGGGTCCCATTGCCCTCATCAAAAATCCGCTCAAGAATTTGAAGCTGCACAGGTGTGGGCGTCCACCGCTGCCTAGCAGTTATCTTGTGACCAGCAGCACAAGCCATTATTGGATCACAGTAAAGATTCCCAAGCCTCATTCCTGAAAACCAGAAAACATTGAAGTTGTCAAGGAGCAAAGTTATTTTCCTAAAGAGTCTATTTCTCCAGTCATGTTGGAGCATCAAAGGGATCAAAAACAGGAAACACAAGCAGATGGTTCTGATGATGAAACGAACAGCAAGGCCACGGTTAATCTTACAGTTCTCGTTTGCAGCATCTTAACAGAACAGGTAATATTAAAGTTTAATCAACCAACAGAACAGAACAGAGGAGGATAGTTTCTCAAACCCAGACTTATTCTTACTCTACAACTACAACAAGTGGATCTAACAGAGAACTGTTTTTGTAGGTCCAAACGAATGAAGAAACAGAGAATGAATAAGAAGAGTAATGCAGGAAGATAGGAAAAGAGAGAGAAAAAGAGAGAGACCGGCAAGGTCCTGCTGGGCGGTGATTGCCTTATGCATCTCGACAAGTTGGTCACAGATGGAAGCATAGACAGAGATCTGCTGCCTTAGGAGCTCCATTTGCTCATCGGTCATCACCTTGACGTAGAGGCCACCAACTCCATCGGCGGCGTTGCTCAATTGCTCCACCTGCATTTGCATTTGCAATTGCTCAGTTTGGTTCTGTTGCTGCTGCTGGTTCTGCCACTCCATCATTCTCTTCTTCTGCAACTTCTGGGTGCGTTGTTCTACGTCTCATTTGGCCATTTCCATTTCCATTTCTCCTCTTAACTTAAAGCAAAGCAAAAAGGGGGGAAAGCACTCAATTGGAAGCAGCACAGAAGAACTGGATAGGACCTTACAAAACGGAAAAAAAAAATGCCACGTCGGACGCGCACTCTATCACTAATTCCGCGGGTCGCGGCGGGTCTTCCGAAGGAAATCTCGGTTTGTTCTTCATCTTTTCTTTGCTTTGCCACGACGGCAATGTCTCTTTAATATTAACCGCCCTCTACTCGCAGGTGAAGCGCGTGGAATCCACGAACCAATGGCTTCGGTTGTCGTGGTTGAATATTCCAATTCCATGCAACGTTGGTATTTTTAGAGTTTAAACAAAGAAAAATGTTTGGTCATTTTTTTCTGCGGAAACTGCCGACTGAAAATTTAACCTTTTCTGGAAACGTAATCAAAGGGATTTTCTTCCTCTTATTATATTTTTTGATAAATTAATTAAATAATGCCATATTTAAAGGGTGGGGATGTGAGTGGTGACCAAATTAATTTGTTAAATGACCATTAGGCCCTCTCCTTCTCTCTTCAGTTGATGGTAGGCCTGCCCCACGGACTTTTATCTGATGTTCCAGTGGATTTGTATTTCAAAATTGGTTTTAAAATGTTAAGAGGAAAGTGGAACAAGGACAATATTGTAATTTTGATTTTGACATAAAAGTGCAAACTTTGAATATCTTTATAATTGGTTTTCTTTTTTTCTTTTCTTCTTACTTCTTTCTTGCGGTTCATATATATATAAATAAATAAATCATCAGTCGTGGAACTAATCTTCTAATTCTCAATTTATTAAAGAAGTTTTTTGGTGTACGCTATTCATTCAAAAAGTTGGGAATCTTCCTGGCTTCTAGTCAATATGGCTAATGGAGTGTTGGTGGCATCTATTAGTTTGGGCCACGTTCCTAAAATAACTTATCTCCATTCCTACAAATAAACAACACTCATTAGTTACCCACGTTGGAGGCCACATGATACCAATATGACTTCTTTACAAACTAATTCGTTCCCGGCAACCCCCGAACTCCGATCCGACGGCGGCAGCCAAGTTCAGCAGCCACCGACCCTTCTGTCTCCCTACGACATGGGACGCTTCTCTCTTTCCCATGCTGTTCTAAAACATCATGAATGTTCTTGGCCTTGAATTTAGACTTCTCATTTTGCTCTTTCAGGATTGTGTTGGCCCCACTCTACAATTTCACGGCTCAACCGCACGCCGCTCTGTACTATTCTCAGAGGGCGACCATGGGCGGTTTCTTGATCGGAGAAGCCTCTGGAATCTCTGAAACTGCTCAAGGGTACATAATTTAACTTCTTCTTCCTTGGGGGGCTTTTCTTTACTCTGCCAATTGAATTGAATGTATATGTTTGAAGGTACCCAAACACTCCTGGAATTTGGAGAACAGAGCATGTGGAAGCTTGGAAGCCAATAGTGAAGGCTGTTCATGACAAAGGTGGCATCTTCTTCTGTCAGCTGTGGCATGCTGGAAGAGTTTCCTATCGTTGTAAGCTTCGGATTCTTGACTCTAAATTTCGGTACAAACTCTGGTTCAAGTAAAAAGGTTATCATCGAAAGGACCCTTATTTAACTCTCTCTCGGTTGTGTCATAGCTTTTCAGCCAAATGGTGATCCTCCAATATCGTGTACGGACAAGCCACCAGCGACTGAGAAAGATATATGCGGAAGCACAGTACCGGAATATCCCCCTCCTCAGCCACTAACGGCGGAGGGGATTACTCAAGTGGTCAACGATTACAGGGTTGCAGCCAGAAATGCCATGGAAGCTGGTAAGAAGAAAATTTGATCTATACTACCTTATTATTAATGATTATAAGAAAAAGGAAACGACCCAATTGAAATTATCCAAATCCCACATGGAAACTCTGATCATTAATCAAAACGAACCAGGTTTCGACGGAGTTGAGATTCACGGCGGCAATGGGTACTTAATCGATCAGTTTCTCAAAGACCAAGTGAACGACAGAAGGGATGATAAATATGGAGGAAGTTTAGAAAACCGCTGCAGATTTGCTCTGGAAGTAGTGAATGCTGTGAGTGAAGAGATCGGCGGGCACCGAGTCGGAATTCGGCTGTCGCCGTTCGCCAATTACAATGACTGCGGCCACTCTGATCCCGAAGCTCTAGGCGAGTTCATGTGCAAATCCTTGAACAGATATGGGATATTGTATTGCCACATGATCGAGCCGAGGATGGTAACTCAGTTTGAGAAAAGGGAAGGTGAAGGAAGAAGTTTGTTGGCGATGAGAAAGGCGTTTAAAGGAACGTTCATTGTGGCTGGCGGATACGAGGAGGAGGAGGGAGAGAAAGTGATTAGAAATGGCGGTGCTGATCTTGTTGCTTTTGGGAGGTTGTTTTTGGCGAACCCAGATTTGCCTATAAGATTTGAACTTGGTGCTGCCCTTAACGAGTACGATCGTAGTACTTTCTACACTCATGACCCTGTAATTGGCTACACTGACTATCCTTTTCTTGAAATGCATTGAGAGCCATTTGGTCATGAAACAAGATGATGGTTTGATGATGACTTGTAAGTTTTCAGAGGGACTTCATCTCTTAAATGAAAATAATATCATATAAAAGTTAGCGAGGGAAATAATGTATGTGTCACGGTCATTTTTGTCCACGGAGTGTTGCATGTGATTACATGTCATGTCAAACCCTCGTATATATATGTTGTATTTTTTTATTACTTTTTTGTTGTATTAGCTTGTAATTTTTAGAATAGGACAGTTTTGGCACTGATCATAATTACACGAATAGACTTGAATTGTCTCAAAATGTGCTATTAGAAGATATGACTAGTCGCCATATTATCTAGATCGTTGTATTGCCTTTTCTTGCTTGCTAGCTTATAACATTGCTTTAAAAAAAATTTTACTCCCATTTTCTAAAACCTTCTTATCAAAACGAGGTCAATGACTTAGGTAAACATCATCTAGCCAACAAAAACATGAATTTGAATTGGCTTGACTCACTCAATGATGAGAACGAGTGACGCACTATCGCTTGCAAATATTTCAAGAAAGTGTAATTGTGACCATTGGTATCATAGCCAAGTTGGCTCCCGAAAAAAATTCAATAAACAAGTCCACAATAAAACAATTAAGTCAGTCCCACGTCAAGTGACTAGTTGACATCAAAGATCAAATGCAATATCTTCAGGAGGTTCTATCAATATTTGGTTCTTTGATGACCACATGAAAAAGCTATGTGCCAAGATCAACATGAGTGATGTGATGGCGAGCCACTTAAATGAGATCCCCATCTAAGAATTGATGTATACGGTGTAAAATGAAAAAGAGAGAACCACCAAAGCTAGAGAGCTAATGGCTTTTAAGTGTGGAAATAGCTTGCTTAAATAGAGACTCCCAAAAAGCCATCGGTCGGTCAGATGAGCACTATAGTTTTAGAAGCCGTGAAGACAGCACCAAACTTTCAAAATGGATGATTTTCACATGGTAACTTCGGATGGAGTTCTTACTTGGGCACAAGGTCAACCCTATGCCCATTGTTGTCCAAACAAGCATTAAACACCCCTAATCAAACATTAAACAACCTGAAGGGGTAAAAATGATATCGACACTCCAAGTTCAACAGGGTCTAACCCACCCACCTTCATGGCCATCCAGAGTTCACTTGAAAAGCTTTTGGCCTACAAATAACCATGACCGGCACACGACTAAATGGATATGAAAATACAAGCACTGGGTTTATTAAAAGAGAGATCTCTGTTTAAGGGTGGCCAACTGGAATTCAGAGATTGTCTGTTAACTGTAATACAGATTTAGTGGGTGGATTTGATTGAATCTTCATCTTATCACATGGTGTGAAGAGGAGTGTTCTTGCTATCTCAGTGAAACATAAGGGAAAAAAAAGATAGTTGGATTGGATAACTAACATTGTAAGGTACAAGACAGATGATCTCCCAATACAACCTTCCGTTAACTGAATGCACAAACAAAATAACAGGGAGATACTAAAATATTTTCATGATATAACAAAACCAATTAACAGGAAATGATCAGACCATTATTATGGAAAGATCAAGTACACTGAGAGCCTAAATGACGTTGCTATCATCTACATCTTCATCACTCGTCATCGTCCTCCTGTAAAAATAAAGAAAAATATAATATAATTAATTTAGGGCTCAAACATTACCACTATAATGTCTAATTTAAATAAACTCCATAAAAAAGATTACCTCTTCGCTGCCCTCATCTCCTTCCTCATCATCATTCACCTCAGACACTGATTTCTCAGATTCATCTTCTTCTGCAGCATTGGCTCCACTGGCCTGAAACTCACAAGGGGAGTGAATTCAATTCAAATAAGAAAAACAGTGCGGAAATATAAATGCTTCATAAGCTTTAACAGAGGATATACCTGTTTCTTGTTATAGGCCTTCATAACTTTTTCATATTCAACCTTCCTCTTGTCAGCCTTGGCAACGTAAGGTGCTTTATCCTGATATTATAAACAGTAATTCAGACAGAGTTTATAATACCAGGTTTAGTATAAGAAATACTACGATAGCTATCACGTACAGCTTCTGACATCGATTTCCATTTCTGTCCAGCAGCTTTACCAACCTGATTGCATCATTTGTCGGTATCATCGATCATTTCAACAAAGAGCCATAAAAGTTGGAATGGAGTCAAAAACTAAAAGAGCGACTATTAGAAAGCTAAATAGCTTACAGCAGACACTGCTTTGTTATTCGGATTCTCCTCATTGAACTTCTTCCTGAACTCTTCCCTTTAATTATCAAAAAATGCAACAACATGACAACACAATAATTATACGTACTCAACGATTTACAGGAAGAAAACTGCAAAAAAAAAAAAAAGGTTGTAAAGCAAATAGACACAACAAATCAAAGGAATCTCTTTTGTAGAGAGCCAAGCTGTGTTAACATTCGCTTGTGTTTCCGTAAGGTATTTGAGACGAACTTGAATATCGTTAGCTACAAATGTTGGATGCCCCAATAAAAAATCGTGGAAATCAAGTTCATCGTTAATCTGTCCTTGTTGACATTTTTTTTTAAAAACTTCACAACCATGAAAATCAAATAAATTGAATATATGCAGAATAATTCAGAATTCGAAAAGTAAATTAAAAGATTAAAAAATTACATAAAAACGAAGAAGGCACTGGCGGGCCTCTTGGGCTTGTTAGGATCTTTCGCTGCCTTCTTACTTCCTTTTTTGCCCGCGTTGGCTGCACCTTTCTTCACTGCAAGCCTACAATATTTTGAGGAGGAGGGGGGAACCATAGACAACGATCAATCAGAAAGAAAGAGGTCAACGCCTAGCTTTGGGACACGTAATTCACAACAATGAGGCTTCATAGATCTAGGGCCGATCAAAACTAAAACATAAACATATACAACAGAAAAAGCACGGAGGAAGAAAAAAAAACTTACTTGGTGTCTGCTTTCTTCGACTCCGACTTCGATTTTCCGCCTTTCATTTCGAATCCTGCAGTATACGATCGGATCAGCAAAAATCTCGAGAGGAAACAAACAAAAGGCGTGAAATTACGTGAGAAATCGAAGGAGATCAATGTAACGTACCGAAGGAAGAGAGCTCCGGAGGGAGGATAGGTTAGGTTTAGGGTTTGAAGAGGGAGGAAGAAGCGGACCTGCGTTCGAGATAGAAGGAGAGAAGGGATACGAGGGTCGAGAGAGTTTTGAGAATAAAAAAGGGATAATTATGCCCCTGAGAAGGGCAAATTGGAAATTCAATTGCCCAGGAAATGAAAGCAGGGATTTAGGCGGGATTCTAAATTTATTGCCACCTCAATAATCTCCGCACTCCTATTTCATTGGTCCACGTCATTATATTATTTTTTGCCCTTCCCCATCTCTCCGCCTCTTTGTGTTTTCTTCCCTAATATTCGTTGGCGGTGCGACTCCCGCCCCGCCACGGCGAAGAGCATCTCCGAAGGCCCGTCTTATCAGATTTCGGCATTTAAAATAAAGCCCAAAGTAAAGCCCGTATTAACAAATCTCGGCCTTGAAAACAAAACCAATAAAAAAAGCCCAAAGTAAAGCCCGCGTTAACAAATCTCGGCCTTGAAAACAAAGCCCAATAAAAAAGCCCAAAGTAAAGCCCGCGTTAACAAATCTCGGCCTTGAAAACAAAGCCCAATAAAAAAGCCCGTATTAACAAATATCGGCCTTGAAAACAAAGCCCAATAAAAAAAGCCCAAAGTAAAGCCCGTATTAACAAATCTCGGGCTTGAAACCAAAGCCCAATAGAAGCCCAAAGTAAAGCCCGTATTAACAAATCTCGGCCTTAAAAATAGACAAAAATAGACAAATAAATAAATAAAAGTTTGAATATGGGCACACAAGAGATGCACGTGCACAACAAAAGTAAACAATTGTATACCGAAGGAGCAGATAACATTCACCACAGAAATGAGGTTTCTAAAGTTGAAGGCCTACATTATACCCATTTCTACAAAATAACTTTAATTCAATACATGTTGGAAGCATAAGCATAAGCATAAGCATAAGCATAAGCATAAGCATGGCATATTCATTCATTCTTCATGGTACAGATACAAACCGAGCCCAAATCTTGCACAAGCCTTGCAAAAAGCTATTTCCTCCGCCGCAGCTACAGGATCTTCATTACTGCCATTGGTGGCTGATACTGTTCCAGTCGATTCACGGTGTGCCTCTCCATCAGATCCTCTTACAGTCACACGATACACCACAGTCACGCTTCCATTGTCGGAGAATATAACGTCTCGTATCTCTCCACACCATCCAGGGGCGTAGAAACTCAGCATTCTATTGGCATGAAACCAAGGGATGAAAGTAGCGGATTCAGGAAGTTTCTGGGCGATGTTATCGGGGATTCTCTTGTTTAGATCCCGGAGGATCTCGGCAAGGGGTCGGGTGATGCAGGATGAGTTAGCTGCGGAAAATGATTTATTGAGCGGCACAACATAGTTGGAATTGGGTACTCCCTTCTTATCACTGCTGGAGCATACAACACGAAGATGGCGGTGTTTTGGGGTGGTAGAATTTAGGGGGAGGCGAACCTCACTAACAGAGTGGGAAGAGGGAAGGGGGGATGATAATGCAGGGAGGTGGGGCCCTGAGAGCTGGGATTGGGCATAGATAACCATGAAGTACAGCAGGGACAACCAACGATGACTTAAGTTGTTATTAAACTCAACTTATGTGGGCAATTTAGGGGTGAGTATAGAACAGTTGACTACAAGCACGAGAACGCCTTCAAGAACAACCCCAAGGATTTAATACACCTGAACATCAAGAACCAAGACATTTTAGACAATATCCAAATCTGAAAAATCAATCAAGATCAACCAAAACACACCATTCCAGCCCCAACAGCTGTGGGCTAATCAACGACAAAGTATGCGAACTAGGCTGAAAATTAAGGTTAAAAGACATCTGCATTGGTGATTGAGGAACTTTTTCGATGTTTCATTCCTCTTTCCGACGGACGTGGGATCTCACAATCCACCCCTTTGAAGATCCGGTGTAGGGCTCTGATATCATTTATAACAGCTCAAGTTCACCATTAGTCACTTTGGCCCATTACATATAGTTGTCGCTACTATAGAGAGGGATTAGCACTGCTCGTGACTACTAACCCATTCTCTCTAATTATTTACATGCTCCCTATTGACTACTAAGCCAGGTGGTTAATGGTGAAAACCTAGGGCAATCTAATAAGGTCCCTTAGCAGCCACCAAAAATCAAAACAGAGGAACAAGGTAGTGCCCCAAACAGAACAAGTAAATCGCGTCCATTTGAAATTGTTTATACTAAATTGCAATTACCGGAATCATTACAGATCAACCGAACCTTCAATTCATCCGATCACACCGAATATTCTGCTCCCGATTGATTAGATCCACTCAGGTTTGAAGCTTCCTTCGATAGATCTGAAATGATTTCAAGAAAAGAAAAATCCGTCAATATCTCAAATGTTGAAGTGGTCAGAAAGCTACAGATTTCCAACAAAAGTTTCACCTCTGGGCAACGGCGGGATGTTGATGTGTTCACGTCGTCGGAGTCAAATTTGATGCAGTTCTTGATCAAAATTTGTAAGGCAGCGTGGTTTTGTCTTCCTCACCTACCTCCTGGAACTAAGTTTATTTGATCAAGGGTTTTTTCGAAATGGGCTTTTATTTTAAAGTGGGCTTACAAAGTTATTGGGTTTAGTTTACAAATGGTAACAACTTGTTATGCAGCTTCGTACAAATGGAGTTTGACCAGCTTCATACCTTCTTCGACCGAACTATACGAATCTTCACCAACTTCCATTTGATTTAAGTTCAGATTTTCAAGAAAATTCAAAGAAAATCCATGTTAGGTTTGCTTTCATAAGAGAAAACATTGAAAGCACTAAGAAGAAGACAAAGCAAAGTCGAGCAAGAAGAGGACCTGCGTCCTTGCCGGAGCAGATCTTCTCATGGCCCCAGACAGCCAAACATTGAATGCTGAAGTAGAACCAAACAGGATTGTTATTTTATTTTATTTTTTTTCAATTAAACAATATCATATGCACGACGACTTTGCTTATATCCATGTCATCACTCCAGTTGGCTCATCAACAACATTCGTGTCCTTTTTTCAACTGAAACCGTCTTTTAAACGATGAATGGATCAATTATTTTATTTGACTTTCTAATCAGCTTTGCATGTGATGTGGATCAGACTTGTACAGTTCTCCGTCAGGTAAGATTTAACGACCGTCGTTAAAGTGAAGGCGTTGACCTGATCCAAAACGAAAGTCAACACGATAACCCACGATCAGAACCGGTCGGAAAGTGTCAGTTTCGTAAATAGCAGTGATGATGAAGGGCGGTGGCAGGAACTAGACGACCGGCCACCGACCGGAACGTTTATATGCGGGCGAAGGGAATGAAGAATTCAGAGGGAAGAGAGCGAGTTGTGACGATTGCCCACAACCATAAATGCAAAGAAATGAAGACCCACCATCCCCCCGGATTCAAACCCTAAAAAAAAAATGCTATCTTTAAGCCTATTTTCAACTTGAATTTTCTTTCCCTCTTACTTCGCCGGAATCTGAACTCAATCGCCGGCGATGGCCCTCGCCCTCGCCCTCCGGCCAACCCATTCTTTGTTTTTATTTGCTTTCTCATTTTTGCCCTTTAGATCTATCTCTGTTTGAAAGATCAGGATCGGCAGTGGCAATACTTCTTATCGAATTTCCCTATTTATTTGCTTTTTTTGGCTGGGTTCTGAGATTATGTAGCCTACATTCTTTATTTTATTAATTTTTTCCCTAAAATATCCTCCTCCTCCTCCTCTCTCTCTCCCTCTCTAACGATTCTTCTCGTGCCCGACCCTAGGGTTAGTCTTCGAATCTTCCTGTTTCGGAGGGGGAGGCTCATATAGGTTTGAATTGGGAATTGGGGATATCATTGGTTTGAGTTATTTTGGAGATATGAGCTGGTTTTCTTGCATTCGTCCCCGTCGTAAAGACGCCGGCAAGGTCGAAATCGACAACGGTATGGTAATTGTTCCAATTTACGCGCTCTCTCTCTCTCTTTCTTACATTATTTTGAGGTCAGATTTCAAAGAATCTTCGATGTTTTGGGATCTGTAAACTTGCAAAAATTTCGCAGGGAGTCGGAGGGGGAACTCCTATTCAAATGGTAAATCGCTACTCCTACTGCCTCATTCTTATTACTGAAGGCCTTTTGATTTTCATCTTATGCTTCTTAAATTTGTGCTCAGACATTGGAAAGGGGAAGGAATCACAATCCAGCAATGGAAACAACCGGAGATGTGGGGCTGCACGAAGCTTCCCATTTCGCGAGTTAGCCATGGCCACGAGAGGCTTCAAGGAAGTGAACTTGATTGGTGAAGGCGGTTTTGGAAGAGTTTACAAAGGACGATTAGGAACAGGCCAGGTTGTTCTTGCTGCTTCATTTTTTTATCACCTACATTCCTGAAAAACACAATGTGCTTTTACTTGAATCTGATATTTATGCAATTGTTATCTGCTTGCTCGAGCAGCTCGTTGCGATTAAACAACTCGACCGTAAAGGTCTTCAGGGATATCAGGAATTCATCGTCGAAGTTCTCATGTTAAGTTTATTAGATGATAGTAATCTTGTCACCTTGATTGGTTATTGTACTGATGGAGATCAAAGACTGTTGGTCTACGAGTATATGTCGATGGGAAGCTTGGAAAACCATCTTTTTGGTATGTCTATCAATCTCTACCCTAAAGAATAACTTAGAGATAATTTCGATGTACATCGGTTGTAATGCTGGTTCTTTTCTTCGTGGTTCTGTATTTTGTTTTCAGGCTTGTCCCCCGAACGACCGCCATTGAGTTGGAACACTCGAATCAAGATTGCTCTTGGTGCAGCCCAGGGGCTTGAGTATCTTCACTGCACAGCCAATCCACCAGTCATCTACCGTGACTTGAAATCTGCAAACATTTTACTGGATGATGACTTCAATCCAAAGCTCTCAGATTTCGGCCTCGCGAAGTTAGGACCGGTTGGTGACAACACTCATGTTTCCACCAGAGTAATGGGAACACAGGGTTATTGTGCTCCGGAGTATGCCATGAGTGGCAAACTCACCCTTAAGTCTGATATTTATTGCTTTGGTGTAGTTCTGTTGGAGATAATTACAGGTAGGAAAGCTATAGACTCCACCAAGAAACCAGGAGAGCAAAATCTGGTTGTTTGGGTAAGTTCTCATTTCCTGTGGCTGAGCTCTGCTTGTTGTTTTAGATGACATATTATACAAACTGCCCCTAACAACGACTTTTCCCCGTCCCTCGTTTCAGTCTCGCCCTTTCCTGAAAGACCGGAGGAAGTTCATTCAATTGATCGACCCGCTGCTCGAAGGTCGCTACCATCTTCGTTGTGTACATCATGCAATTGCAATTGCTGCAATGTGTCTCCAGGAGCAGCCAACGTTCCGGCCAATTGTCAGTGATATCGTTGTTGCCCTTGAGTACTTGGCTTCTCAGAGTTGCGGATCAGAACAACCGAGGGACGAGGTGCCTAGTCCCTCCAAACCATCTCCTCAAAAGGACAGGCGTTCCCCTGTTCAAGCATCGAGACGTGGAAAGAATTCAAGATTCATGTAAGGGTGGTTGCTGTACAAGTCTTCGTATGGCTGTGGAAGGTATCAAATCAATTATCTCAAATTGTTTTTCCTCGATTGAAGTATCATTCACCACACAAATAGAAATGTAACAATCCACCCTCTTTGGAGGCTAGCATCCTTGTTAACACACCACCCGGTGTTTAGCTCTGATACCATTTGTAACAACTCAAGCCCACCCCTAGCAGATATTGTCCGTTTTGGCTCATTACGTATCGTTGTTACCTCACAGTTTTAAAACTAGGCTTTTACAAATGATATCAAAGTCAAACATCGTGCGGTGTGCCAGCGAAGACGCTGGCCCCAAGGGGGTGGATTTCCTTGTGCTAGGAGAGCAAAGCTCCAACCCCCACTTATCAAACATATCAGAAAATACGCAACTTTTTTCTGCAAAACTCAGGAAGAACAGTTCTTTGTTCAGTCATAGACTTTGTATGAACACATTATTTCCTTTCACTCTCCTCATATTAGCTCTTTTGTTCATTTGGGTCTCCTTTCTTTGTTCGTTCTTCTTTTCGATTCGTGTTTTGTTTGAATCTGAATACGAATTGAGTTGTTGCCTTTCATTCATGTATTTGGTTGCAGATGCATTTGCAGTTTATGGTGTTAGCAAAACCCGGCCAACTCCAAATATGCAAGCAATCCACATGCATTTTTGAGTGCCATTATCTCCCCTTTGATGGCCGTTGCACATATTTCAGGTAATACAGATTCTTGCCTGCAATACGGACTACATCAACTAGTCTCATACATGGGATGATCCTTCGTCATCTTATCTTTTCTGATTTCCATCATTCTCAGTTCATTAAAAAATATATATATTTCTTTAATATGGGCTTATCGAGTGCAGTGAAGCCAGCCCATATGATGATGATCCACATAATTTATATATGTATATAATGTAATCAACTGATAATAAACTTGGTGAAAGCAAGTGATAGACATTTGACTAACTCAACTCTAGAGGTTTGACTTTGACTAAATTGAATCCCACTCCCTTTTTCAAAAGCCACCCTCCATAATAATTGGATTGGGCCCACCAACAGGCCCATTTCGGCCCGAATCAAAGTTTTTAGTTCTCTTAATTGATTAACCGTAGGTGTGGGGTAGGATCGAACTATTTAATTTATTACTGAATTATGCTCCGATTCGCTTTTAAACAGTGGTTTTATTCAATAAATATGCTTGACTTTTCTAGGTCTAATCCATTTATACGCATTTAATGCCATCACCTGCCAGATTCATTGAGGGAGAGATTTGAACCAAAAAGAAAAGAAAAAAATGAAATAATGATGGTGATATAATTGTGGATTGGGTGGACATGCCTTGTTCTAGCTTTTTAGGCATGTCAATTATCTGTCACTTGTTTTTAAGCCAATTGGGTATCAAAAATTGGAACACAAAACTACGTATTTCTATTTCTATTAGTACGATGTCTTTCGAAGAAACCCAAAGATAAAGTTACGAGAATCTATGCTCAAAATAGATAATATCATACTCTTTATCATTTAGACACATTTAATAAATGAAAACAACTTTTTCCGGGACCATCTCTTTAATTCTTTGTTGACCCCCAAATAGTTTTTGTGTAACAGGTTTCTACCCATTCACCTGTCCTCGATAGTCTCACCTAAATCATTAATACTCAAAATAGTTTCATTAATACTCCAAATAGTTTATTTATCTATTTCAAAATTCACGTTTGAAAATTAAATATATATAAATTATTTGTATATTTTGTTTTAGAGAAAGTTAAATATGTGTAAATCTCTAATCCATGTGTTTTGAAATAATTCTTTACATATATATATTAAAAAGTGGTGTGGTGTGAAATTTTAAATATTAGGCGGCTATAAAGTTAACAATGCAAGCTACTCGAGTGCAAATTTGGGGTATGAAATAACGGTCAGCAAGATTGTTGGTGTTAATTTATATCCTCTATTTTGGGCATTTTGGTCATTTCGCCTGTGCACATGCCACCACAAAAATTCCTTTTTGGCTACCTTTTAGGCTTCAATAAACATCCTTAATATATATATGCTTAAAAAAAAAAAAAAAAAAGGGTGTTTCTTTTTTACTAGGCACTCCTATGCCACTTTATTCCCTTTCCCAAATACTCAAGTTTCAAGCTTTAGTGAAAATTTTTGCCCCCAACTTTTTAAACCCAATTCTTAAATGGGTATTAATCTCAGATCGGAGCCTCGCGCCCAGAGAGAATAAACTAAAAAGGGTAGTACATAATCCCGGCTGGCAATGGCATTGGGATTGGGATTGCCTGTTCGAACAGTTCTAACAGTGTAGACCCAAGAGTTGGCCAGAATTTGGAGCTTGAATTGTTAGAAGTAGGTGCAAAGAGTGAAGTGAGTCCCTACATAATGGGTAGGGGTCAGGCGGCATGTGAGCGAGATGGCAAGTTTTTAGTTTAATATTCGGTTTGTGCATGATCGAGGCGTGGCGCCGATGGCGTCAAATGAGTAGCGATGATGGCGTCAAATGAGTAGCAATGATGAAGATGAATGGCTCACCATCTGTTTGCGAAAAGGCCCCAAAGAGAGAGAGAGAGAGATATTTCACTTTATTTCCTCGTTATCATCATCATTGCTCCCACCTCCTTCTCCTCCTACCCACAAATCTCTCTACTCTCTACTCTTCAATCAGCCATCCCTTTTGCTTCTACTCCTCCTCATTTTCACTTCACAATCATTTACGAGAACCTGTCTAAACTGGGACTTCCCTGTTTTCTGGGCATTATTTGAAACCATCTTTGACAAAAATATAACAACACCGCTCAGTGGGCTTTGTTCGAAGCTTAATTATTATTCCACTGACATCGACTTTCAGAATGTGTTGGCTTTAAATGTGCGGTAGTTGGGGCTTTGGAATTTGCCTACATCTGGAATTATATTACATTTTCATCCCCCACTTTTTCTTGTTTTCACACTACACTACCAAAATTTTGCCAGAATTTATATTAACTCTTTACTAATACATTTAATTTTAAAAAATAAATACTTTAAAAGTTAATCAATTGCATTTACTGAAAAACCCTCGGGCTGCCTCCAAATTATATTATACACAAAAATCATTGTCATGCGGGCCCGCTTGACAATCAAACCGAAAGCAGCGGTGCTATTCACGTAAATAACCACAATCTTTCACTTCCTAACCGGATTCTATTTGCCCCTCTCTCGTAAACCGCGAAGCTGCTGCCAGCGCCAACAATCCGGCTTTCCTACTCTGTCCTCAATAACTATAAATAAGCCTGTCTTGACTCTAGTTCAACTCCTGTGGCTCCCTTTTCACTCCCGCTTTCCTTTCTTGGCGGTTTTGTTGTGCTTTGCACCCAACTCATCTTCTACTGATCTGCGCCACAATGAGGCTCCGTTTGGGGTTTATCGCGTCAATTTATCTCCTCCAGGCAAGAATTCTGTAGCTGTAACGTTTTTTGTTCTTGAATCGCTTCTGTCTTCATCCGTTTGTATGTTCTTTATTACTTGCTTTGGCCGCGCTTTCCAGACGTTAGGATTTGGTGAATTCTTCTGTGTATTTTTGTCTCTATCATGCCGTGTTTATGTGATTGGTTGATGAACGAATACTGCGAAATGGAAATTATGAATCGTCAAAAGTGTGCTGTCTACTACTGTTCCTCTCGCTCGTTTCTTTTCCTGTTTAACTGTTTTGTTTTAGCTTCCGTATTCGGAAGAAGAATACGACAAGGTTGGAGGAGCTTGGCAATGATTATATATCGAATACTTTCAGCAACAGGGTAAAAGGTCCGGCTCTGCTTTAGGAGCTGTGACGTTGCTTCACGCATCTGAAAATGTTTAAAACGAATGATTAGTGGGCATCTTGTGTGGCTTAAAAATTAATTCCCAGACTTGGTGTCTTTTCTTCTTATGAACTTGGAATAATGGTAATCTGCAATGGGGATGTGCGTCAGGGTAAAAACTCCCGCTCTGCTTTATGAGACTGTGAGTTTGCTTCACGCATCTGAAAATGGTCTCTTATCCAAACTGGGAACTAGTTTCCAGGATCCATTTACGCGAATGATTAGTGGGCATCTTGAGTGGCTTAAAACTTAATTCCCAGACGTGGAGTCTTTAACTCTTATGAACTTGTGTCGATTCCAATCAGAGCGAAAGTTGTCTAGCGTTTTACCTACCATTAACTAATGCTTTTCTTATGGTTTTCGCCATTTGTTTTAGAACTTCAGTTTATTGTGAGATTCATAGAAACGATCGCCGACCCTGATTTCTTACTAAAAGTCGAGAGACATGTGCAGGTTCTATATTTTGTCCTAGCGTATGCAGAGAGGTCTAACATACGGTTGCTGTTATCTACGAATGGCACATCAGGGTATGCATTCCATTTTGGTTGACCCTTCTGCGTTTCATTAGAATAGTTATTTATTTTCCTACACATCTCATTCCCTATCTGGTTGAAGCATTTATTGCTGCGAATATTTTTCGCTTGAATCTTCTAATAAGGCTTACTTTCTCCGCCATTGAAGGGAAAAACATTCTGAAGGATATTGCACAATGTATGGTATCTGTGGAAAACGACCTGATGGTAAGGTGTTGAACTGTCCGACTGGTACCCCATCTGTGCAGGTACACTTTTGATTATCCATATTTTAGCACTGGTGGCGATTTTAAAATAAAATATGCAGGTTTAGCTGGTTTTTCTTTATGATCACAAATTATCGTGTTCCCAGCCAGACAATCTTCTTTCATCAAAGATTCAAAGTCTATGTCCAACTATTACTGGCAATGTTTGTTGCACAGAAGAACAATTTGACACCCTACGATCACAAGTTATGCAGGTAAGATCTCTAAGTGGCTTGTATTATTAATACTGCTGTCTCATAGTTGCAGAGATACTCAATGCACTCTGATAGCAGGTCGAATAATGCATCATGAGAATTTTTATATGCATTTTTCTTCTAAAACTAATATATATTGCTTGTTGACTAAAATGCATGTAAAATATTAGAATGCATGCCCCTGTATTCTAGAGCGGAAAATACGCACTGTACAGCCCTTTTCTGGGTATTAGTTCTTCTGCACGGAAGAATTAGCCTTTTGATTTTTGTTTAATACCTGAATGTGCAATGCGTTACATTTTGTAGTGTTAAAGGAACTTTCAAGTTTCAGCTTTCTCGTGTCTTCTTTTAATGAAAGTACTTCAAATTCTTGGCCCATAATATGACTCGTGTATTTTATGCAGGCTATTCCGTTTCTTGTTGGTTGTCCAGCATGCTTAAGAAACTTTTTGAACCTATTCTGTGAGCTTACCTGTTCTCCAAATCAGAGCTTATTCATTAATGTAACTTCTGTTTTAAAGGTTAGAACACTTTTTTCTTATAAAACTTATATAATTATGCCATTCACTTAGTAAGTAGCATTTATTTAGAAATTACGTGTTTGTTTTCTTTGTTTTCCATAACTTCCAAGCAAAGATGAACCTGCTAGAGAGGCAGATATTAGTTGCTCTTCCCATGAAATCTCTCTTTTATTATTAAGACGAGTAGGAGGTCATAAAAGCAATCACTTACCAAGTAATTGCACATAGATGTTTGGAAAAGATTAGGATATATAAGAGCGAGGTTATAATGTAGTTCACTTCTTTTCAATATAAACAATGATTAATGACATTTTTTCTTTTTCACAGAATCATAGTCTAAAACTGTTAATTCCATATTGCGGTCTAGTTTTCTGCAATTTTGCAGATGATCTTCGTACCAGAGATTTGAGCTTATATGCAAGCAAATTCCAGTCTTTTTCCCTTTCTTCCCAGTCCCTGTCAATAATCACCATGCATATTGGTTGCATTTGCCTAGAATTTCTATGCATTTTCTCTGCATGCTCTTTCCCAATGCTGACCTCTTTATGATGATCTCTTCTTACTTTAGCTGAATGTTAGACTTCTTCATATATCGAGCAGTTGGAAGGCCACATT